TTAATATATTCTTCCTTCAAAATACTGACAAACTCACCGAATTAAAGATAACTTTCAGCAACAGGTTTCAAGCCTTAAGAGATCTAACCACAGAAGAGGAAGTGTCTATGGAGAACAAGATCAACAGGTAGGATTCCGTGCACAAACCAAATCGCGACATTACGGATCATCGTTGAACAATCAGTCGAGTCATTATACATCAACTTCCTTAGCTATCAGAAGGCGTTTGACAGCGTGGATAGAAGGGTTTCATGGAACCTACTTGAACACTATGGTGTACCTGAGAAAAACGTCAATATCATCCGAAATTGATACGATGAACTACACTGCACAGTGGTGCATTGAGGACCGGACTCATAGAAACGTGCTTACCCTCCCCCTTTCTCCTTCTTCTGGTGGACGATTGAATTATGAGGACCTCGACATCCGACGGAAAGTGCGGAAAACAATGGACAGATTGGATGCACCTAGACGATTTGGACTTCGCAGATAACCTGGCCCAAACATATCAACAAATGCAGGTCAAGTCAAAAATTGTAGCAGCAGCTTCTGCATCAGTGAGTCTCAACATACACAAGGGAAAAGGCAATATACTGAAGCACAACACAGACAGCACCAAACCGATTACACATAATGGAGGAACTCTGGAAGAGAGGTAAACTTTCACTAGGCTGCTCAGCAGCAGTATCGATGAACAAGAAGAATCTGATGCAGACATAAAGACAAAGATTGAAAAAGCAAAGACAGAATTCACACATTTGAACAACATATGGAACTCAAACACAACAGTCAACCAATATCAAAATCACAATCTTCAATATGATCGTCAAAACAGTTCTAATATATGCAGCTGAAACCTTGAGGACTATCACAACCATTATTGAAAATGTAGAAGTATTTCTAAACAATCGTCTATATGAGATACTCAATGTTCATTGGTCGGATACCACCAACAACATCCAACTGTGGGAGAGAACAAAAGAGTTTCCAAGTGAAGAGGAAATTATGGAGAGATGCTGGAAGTGGATGGTACATGCATTACAGAATCCATCAAACTGCGTCACAAGGCAAGTGCTAACTTGGATTCGTGAAGGTGAACGAAATAGAGGAAGGTCAAAGAACACATTACATAGAGAAGTGGAAGCAACATGAAAGGACTGATGAGTAGTAACTGGGAACAACTGGATAGGGTTAGTCAGGACAGATGTGGATGGTGAATGGTGATGAGCGGCCTATGCTCCTCTACGAGCAGTAACAAGGGTAAGGAAGTGAGTAATGATTTAAGCGTTTTATGTAGGAAACTAGTATTCTTGCTCTTTTCTTTCATATACTTATTTTACTGTTAACAACCGGTATCACTGCATTGAAGTATAGTATTCCATCCGGTTCATGTTGAGTTTACATAATTACCAGAATTCTAAAGAAAATCGAACAAAAGACTTTTATGACTCATAAAAAAGAGAAGTCTTCATATCAGGTAGTGAAGTATATTAACATTAAAACCGACACTATATATTGGAATAAAAGACAGTTAAGACAGTATAGAAAAAAGAGATCTATGAAATAACAACTACCATATGTTAAACATTTCACAATGGCACTGAGAAAATTGAATATTTTTGAATAACTGTTATTACCAAACTTTATGGAAGAATGGTTAAGGATATTAGTTACACGAGTTTCTTTAATTTCCGTTAACTGTCCGGGATTCAAAGTTTTATTGTTTTTAACTTCACTAAATTTTTCTACAGTATAAACTGAAAGTATAGAAGTTTCTAGAACTGTTTATGAATAAATTAAAAATGGATCTCAAGTCACATATCACTTTAAATGTAAGTAAAATATTCATTTCTCAAATTACTCACACACATGAAACTAAATTACAAAATTGTGAAGTAGACAAAATTTAATCCAAAATTACAATTTCGGATGAAAGAAGTCTAGTTGGTTTGTTTGAGAGTTTGATTTCAAAATATTGACTTCAAAATATAATTACTTTTAATGTTGTAATCAACTGATCAGTAATATTCTCTAAAACGTTTCCAACATTTACATGAAAAACTTTGATTATAACTAACTATTCGGTAGCTATTTCAGTCGTTAGATAATAGGTCGTTTATTAAATTGAATACAATTTATGAAACAGCTTAGGTATAAAATGCTGTCATATAATGTCATATCAACGCTTTTTATAAACATGACCTAAAAATCAGTCTTAGAGTTAGCGTGGTATGCTTCTTCAATAACTGCCTTGTCTAATAATAACCTTACCTTACAAATTTATTTTACCACATTTTATTTACCAGTAGCCTGTCAAGTCGTATACTGTGTTGGAGATAAAATCAGTACACCGACCAAATCATTAGTCTAAGTAAATCAGAATTAGAATTTGTATGTTACCAAATGACTGAACTGATCTAGCTATCATTTTCTGGGATAACTGGAATAATTCTGAGTGAAGAACTTTTACTTAAATTGTTCTTCCTGAGACTGATAAATTTGTCTGTTTTCTGAAATATTATCACCCCCCTTCAAGTAATTTGTAAATGAACTTCATTTATGTCATTTGATTTACATTTGATTTATGGATTTTAATTTTTACGACAGTTTTATATTATTCTAAGAGCAGAGTTCACTTTAATCTAAGTTGTTGATGTATCCTTTGGTTGTGATACAAAACCGTAAAATAATGTTAATAATATCAGTTGCAATTTATCAAAACTGAGGGTTAAAACCACACCATTGGCGATCACAGTATATTCTAGATCTTAAGGAAAAGTAATTTAAATGTGTAACTGCTAAATCCATTTTGTTGAACAGGGCGTGATTATATTGCTGTTGAAGAGCATAAAAACAGACGTGATTTCTCAAGGAATGGTATCGGACAATTTTCACTGTTCTAATAATTACTTACATGTTATATTTTATTTTATCCATAATTATTCAATAAACCGTCTACGCTTATATATGTATATAATTCTACAGTGGCTTAATATGTGCAGGATAAAAATGTAAAGTAACAACACTCATCATTTATTTTTTAAGATGTAAAACATTGAACTTAATACCTTTTAGTTTTTTTTAGTACATAACAGTAAAAGTGAAACATAAAGCAGTTTCATACAATCTGACAGAACGTTCAGTTTATTGCATAATAACATGTAGTGTCTAGTGCTATTTCAAGCCCACATGAGTTATTCTAGTTTCCGTACAGACCAATTTGTTCATTCTTCTCGAGTCACATTTTGAAATTGTTGATTATTCGCTTATTAACCCTGGCTGTTTTTTGTGACCGTATTTGTTAATTGCTTACCCTATTCATTGCGTATCTGTAATTTATTATTGTCTGAATATAAATATTAAGTGACGTTTGATTAAATCGAGTTTGCTCACTTGCTTTTTCCACTACGTGTCATTTCGTTTCGCTCCACTCCCTCCTCTTCGCTTCGTTTCTCTGCTTGTCTGCCTTGATGAACGATTGTATTAAAACTATACGTGTTTGAAATCCATTCTCGTATTAGACTTATTTAATTCCATTATTCACTAACGCGATTTAAGTTAACGATTAAACACAAGGGTAGCCGGGACGTATATTTCGATAGCAACCAGCAAATGATATAACTGGAGTCAGATTTTGGGCAACTAAAATATAGATTGTTTCTTATTTGAGAAAACGTATCCTGAGAAATATCTTTTACAACTAAGCAATCAAAATATTTTTGATCTTTTATTGATATTTGTTATTATTTATTTAGGGTTACTGAAAAACGCATGACATTTTTTTCTTTGAAGAACGAGGTAGTTAATCGTTTGTTCAAAATTTCTCGAGAGTAAACACATTTACGCTGAATACCTTATGAAAGTTACTTAATTTTGGAAAAACATTTCAATAGATGGTGAAATTTCAGAAGATCCCTGAAACAAGATTTAATAAATTAATTGTTCATCATAAATCTGGATCAGTATGTTTTATGCATGGTCAACCTTGAAGCAAAAATTAATTAACCCATCCTTGAGTAATAGTAATCTTCCAAAAGTTATATTTACAGGTGATTGATCAGTAAGTAAGTATGTTTGGAACTATATTAATAATATCCAATAACAATCATAACTGACTGTAATAGACTATCAGTCAGCATACTTGATCGGTACCCATCCTATAATTGGGTTTCTGATAACAAACATAGTTAAGGATTTACAGTATTTAAAATGTTTAATCGTTTTTAAAAGTTAAGGCTGAATGACATAATAAAACAATTTGAATTTTCATCAGAATGGGGATTTGTGGAGATCATAGTAGTTGTAGTGGATGAATTCATGATTCGATCTGAGGTAGATATCCACTAAAACCTGGATGGACGTTTTGTTCGACTACGAGACTCCGCAGCAGTGCGCAACTACGATCCTGCACTCAGGACTCGAACGCAGGACCTTCTGTTTTACGCGCGAACGCTTAACCTCTAGACTCCTGAGCCTGAATCCAACGGTGCTTTTGTCTAGCTTAGAGTGACTCATGAATTCAACTACTAAAATTTAAATTTTTGAAGATTCCATCACATGTCAAAATAATCGATATCACAGATTTATCACAGATCTACCAAAATAACAGAGTTCGTTTGCTGAAAACTAAAAATATTGAGGTTGGTTACAGTACGTCACACATGAATTTATAATTAATTTATCCATAATGTCATAGGGTCACTTAACACAATAGTAAGTTATAATATTTTTCTTAATTAGAACATAAAGAAAATGATTAAATCCAAAATAATAAATAATAAATGAAATGATTCAGTAGCTTTTCTGTATTGTCCCTTTTCATTAATCTAATAACTATATTGAATGGAATTTAAGACATGATTTTCATTAGAGCAGAAAATATTTCAAGCTTTTTATCAATATATATATATATATATATATATATATATATATATATATATATATATATAGAAAATATGATGAACAAAATAGCTAATCAAAAGGAAACATTAAACACTTACTCTCAGTCCTTCATCGTTTACATATTCCAGGTCAAAGTAATCAGCTTCAAGTAGTCTAAATCGATCGACAACTGTTGCAAATAATTCTTCCCCTAATGAATGACCCTAAAGGATAAAAAAAATAAGGTAAATGATTTGTGATGATGATCATACAACTGATAAAATAACGCGACAAGTAACAGCAGTCATCAGTTAATTAATGTAGAAAAAAATAAATTCGTCCTTGTTAATGCTAAACATCTGAAGTAGATGAAAAAACTTTTCTAATGGAAAAAAATAATAACTTGAGGCAATTCACAGTATTTGATAAAACTGTATTTAAATGAAACACAGAAAATAAACTTTAGAAATGAAGAATGTGGAAAATCAATACATACGTCTCCATACTTTAAAATGGTATCGAGAAAAGTGACAAATAACTAAATAATGAAGAATGGAAAAATCACTTGAATAAAAAGAATTTTCACTTGTATAGCAAATTAAGTAGCTAAGATTTTTTTTATTGGTTAGTAGTATTCATGCATATTATTTGTATGTAATTAATTGTCCTTTTATTTTGGCTCAGTGATCTCATTTAAGTGAGATTAAAACTTTTACCGAGTGTGAGAAATAGATAATTATTGGCATAATTATACTCAAAATAATAATAATAGTAGAACGAGTAGAATCCTATTTAATATGTTTTATTTTATGTATTTCAAGAGCTAAATCTTTTAGTAAAGTAAACACTTTGACTTAAAACATATTGCTAACAAAACAGCTAATATGTTCAACAATAAGTGACGTAACGCTAATTTAATTTAATGTTTGTTACTAACATTTTTTTTCTTACATAAAAGGGAACATGAGTGCTCCTAGTTTAGTGTCCATTAACTTACAACAAACCAGTATCATGTAAAAACTTAACTAATCCAATCGGAAAGTTAATCATTGAATTATTTGAAAGAATCCTGTTAACCTGAAAAAAGCATGAAGTAATACAGTACCACTTCATTCAGTAAAATCAAAAAATATTAAATGTAAACACTTTATGAAAAACCTGAGTTAACGCAGAAAAATGAAGCAATGATAATTACAATTCGCGATGTTTATTGGCATAGACACAAATGCATTGAATACAATTTAGCTCAGCTAAGCCACAGAGAATGGCCGAACAGTCATTCCAGCAGCTTTGTAAAGTAGATTAAGCAATTGAATTAAGATCAATTTTCTGCATACATACAGAAAATCCTAGAAGTTTGAAGTCAACTGCCTAAATACTATGAAATAAACAATAAAATATTGGGAAACAACTAGCGTGTAACCTGTTGGGCTGCATTAAGAAAATCATGATACCGTCAGGAAAGTTGCTGCTTATAAAGATATCATTCTATCTAGAATAACACCTTTTTTTCGTTCCCCCTCTTCTATGTATTCAGATTGTTATGAACTTAATTATAACTGAGAAAATTTGGATATCATGAAGTGAAATGCGAAATTCCTCTTGTGATAGTTTGATTGCCTGATAATCAGGTGAAAAGTTGATCAGTGGAGATGTTACAATAAACCTATTCGATGAATTTACCAGAAAATGAGATTATCCGTTTAATAAAAGTGAGCAATACTTCCAACGAAAACTAAAACCAGTAAATTGTATTGCAATTATGCTTTACAGCGGAGAGTACAAAAGTACAACTTTTCCATTTATATAAACACAGTGTTCAAATTTTGTCACTCGACACTAATCGGTTTTATTCATATAAACCCTATAGAGGTGGAGCAGCATTTGATTTACGATGTGTTTTCTTGTGATTTCAAAGAAAATAATAGGTAACAATAAGATTAATGCATTTATAAAATAAGAGCTTTCAACATGGTAACTTTTGAAATGGAACAGTGAAGTCAAAGTCAAAATATGAAGTGATTTTTTCAATTACGGAAGATAAAACACTAATTAGTCAAATTTATTTCAAAAGCATCAAGTGCATTTTAAAAAAAATCTTTTTAACTAACCTATAGGAAAATTAACGATTCAATGAGCCGTTCTAATGACAATGGATAATCTTTCAACTTGAGTAAACAAAAAACGAAAGTAGTGTTTACTTTAGCTGCAATTTTTTATATTTATTTTTACTCCTTTATCATGATTGAAAGCTAGCTACTTTGTAGTAAAACGATAAAAACCAAGTTACTAATGAGCATAAAATGTGAGTTACTGACTTCAATTTTTGCATAGAAATTAAAATTCGATTATATTTTGCTGTGAAATTTTTACATACAGTTACTCATAAACTGATCGCAACGAAGAAAGACGAGATATGTCTTCATATTTGTTGTCGATCATATGACTAGTTCAATCCTCGATATAATTAGTTCTTCGATAACAATCAGAAACCTTGAGGATTATTATTATTTGGAAGGTGCTTACATTGGAAAAAAGGTGCATTCGATGCTAAATATCCGACTAAATTCACGTTAAACTCGATGAATATGATATTCTCATAAATAAGTACGATAAAGACATAAATATTCAACTTTACCTTGACCTTGGTTTAATTTTGATATAAAATGAAGGTGTTTTTATGCTTATGATACTGACACATTACAATGATCAGTTGGATTTTGAGTAATGTGACTTAATCTCATAACTTAAATAACATTTGTAGCTATTTGAGCTAATTAGCTTAATGGATGACCTACTGATATTGTGTTTGATTTTCACTGTGAAGTAAAGATAATTAAGAGAACTAACATCTCAAACATAGTAACTCATTTTCACACTAAAATTAAATATGTCTTTCGATGCAAATCTCCTGTTCTTTATGTAGACTGGTTAAATAACTTCATGAACAATACACGTATTCCTCAATCAAATCTCTTGAATTTTTTTGATGAATAAAACGAAAGTTAGTGCAATAAAATCTATTCAACATCATAATGCGTTAAAAGGTTTGTTTTTATGTGCATTGCTACAAATTACCTTAACTGAAATGAATAATGTGACGAAGTTGCGGTTTTTCAGGTAAATCAAATTACTGATAGAAGTTCCTCACCAAGTAGATGTTTACAGATAAAATGATTGCTTAGAAAATGAGTAGTTTTATATTGAGAAATAACACCGGATAAAAAAGTACCTGATAGAATTATATACTTGGATAAATACTACTTTGGATACATACGGTCGTATTATTTGGGTTTGTAGATCACTCACCAGCCTGTGAAATTAAAATCTAATTATCAAACTTTTTTTCCTTCATGTCGTGTTAACTAACTCGTGTGTAAGGAAACATATAATCAAAAATATTGTTGGACTAAAAATTGACTTCCAGTTTTACACAATAAATAATAGTAATTAGAAAGGCAATGAAGATATTATCCATTTGCGAAATAGCTGGACGTCCTACAGTACATTCACAGAGAGAATTTTTTTGGGGTACTTTAGTGATATTCATTGCAGAGGTTAAATACAAAATATTTCCGATTCTTTGTAACAATGTAAACATCAGATCATTTCAGCTATTAAAAGCAAATTAATTTGAAATAATCAGTACGTATATATAAATTATTTAAAACGTATCTTCAATTAAATGGAACATATCCGCCTGTTTGTAACAGGTCAGTGATCTGGTGATTGAAACTTAATGGGGTTTTATTTTAATTTCCAGTCTTATTAAAGAAAAACAAAGCTACTATTCAGCATGAAATATGAAAGATGTTTTCTATCAATCAGAATATGAAATATTATTCTTTAATATATCGTTATCTGCCAGAATATCTCAAAGGTAATATGCTGATTATATTTCAGGGGTTCCAACCTATTTCTTCCTATTTGAATCGAATAAAATGAAAGTGAACCAAAATTAAAACATGTTGATAAAGAAGCATCAGATACCGATTCCGTCCCAGAACAATTCACACAAAACCGTATAAACTATCACCATTCAGAACTGTTAATTTCTTTGTGAGTATGATACATCATAACCGGTCAGTAACAGTAAATTTGAGCACATTTCTATATTCAGTGAGTTATTATGGTCTACTTTCAATGTTAGTTGGTAAATATGAATATAAACTTGCTGAAACTAAATATTTAATAACGATTGTTGTTAGATCTAGTTAGTTGTACAATGCGGAAACAGTTATATTTGCCTTTAGGTTTAAAATTTTTGTAATACGAAAACTAACACGTAAGCATCAGTCAGTAAAAGATGACTGGAATCTGAAGGATAAAGATTTAACACCTGAAACTGTCTTTCTTTATTAGCAGAGATGGATGGTGGCTAGCAGTAGAATCCAGAACGTGCATTTCGACCTATTTGGGACCCTTCAGCTGGATGCACCAGCATCCCAGAGTTGGTGTTCACTCCGGGACTCGAGCCCAGTACCGTTCGCCTCAACGCCATCACGTTATCCACTTAGCTACTGAGTTTTGAGAGTCACCTGCATGTGCGATGGGGTGAAGTTTAAATTCACTTGGTGTTGTTTGCTCGAATCTTACCATTGTTGTTTATGATTACAATCAATCAGCATGGGATCAGGTACATCCATCTGACGAGTCCCAAATAAGAAGAAACGCACTTCCTGGACTTCACTGCTAGCCACCACCCATCTTTGTTTATAGAGCTTGTGACCAAAGGATATATCGAAGCAATCCGCACAGGATGCATATATGTCAACAAGAGACTGATCAATCGCAGTCCTAAACAAAAATGGGAAGAGACAAGCAAACAACACGAAGTGAATTATCTCTTTTTATTGTCATATGACATTCATTACCCGATAAACTTTGAAAATGATTTTTTCGTCTTTTTAAGATAAATTCATCTGTATGTGTGTATCTATACATATTTATGTGACAGTAACAAATGAAATGCTTTTTGGTATGTCAATTTTCGAAAGTCTTTCCTTATAAGTTTATGTATGTATGCGTGATCAGTTTTTTTCATAATCATGATAATATAGAACAAAAACGAATACAATCAAAGACAATGATGATTAGTTACAGTCATCTAGAATATCGTGTCACCAGTAACTACAAAAATTACGATTATAGCCAGATAGTTTTTTTCATAGTTCACCAATCTTTTCAGGTGACAAGATAAAAGTAATGTTTCAACTTTGAAAAT